TGGCATTCTCGCGGCCGGATTGGGCCGCTTGGTTGCCGTTGCCCAATACAACGGTGGGAAAATTATATCTGGATCCGGAAGGTATAGTGCTTATGAAACTGTGAGGAATGATGCGCGTCGCGTTTCTGGCCGGTCCAAGTGATGAAAGTGATATTGAATTGCGTCGTATTCTTTACTGTATTTCCTTTGCTGTACTCTGTCACCGTAATATTTTTTGTTGAAACCAGTTGATCATCCACTGTACGGTAGGTGCTGAAATACAATCTAGTTGTGTCCCTTTTAATTGGTCCCCTTTGGCGCCTAGAAGAAGACGATGCGCCTAGGCTGAGTATATCAATGTTAGAAATTGAATTATAAAGTAATTTAAATACATCATTGGACTCACCCATTTTCGTCGATTATCATGTGCTTATCCTGAGTGTCAGACTTCACATAGCAGCTATGCACCTTCATCGTATACAATCCCTGACTTTCACTATCTATAACAATAACGGGATAATATTAATGATGTGTATAGCCGCCTTGTGGCAGTGCGGCCTCTCTATCACTTACCAGTTTCACACTCCCACACGTGGAACGCACCTTGTCCGATTCTCGCATATTTCATGGGCGGGCCGTTCGGCGTTTCGTTCCTGAGGTAGTACGCACAATCGGGGGGTTCGGCGACGTTCTCGATTGAATCAACCTCAAGGTCGCTAAAAATCGATGAACTGATTAAACAGCAATTAGATTGGGCAAAAGAACACTTACTCTACGCTTAGGTCATTACTCAACGTTTCGTCTTTTTCCTCGTAGAAGCACTGAATGTGATAAGCATGATCTTCCCTTGTAATGAAAGGAGGTTTGTGCATGGTGACTAACGTTGTCTCGTACATCCATCCTAGAGGATTCATCTAAAAAACGTTCGAAAGGTGCTTTCAGTTTTTCAGATTATGCTCCTTACCGAATTCTTTTCCGTTTACCGCATTCACGTTTAATAACTATATTTGAGATGATTAAATGCTGCACCGCTGGAAGTTCAGTGGTACTCAAGGAGCAGATATTCCATTAGAAAAAGCTAAGCTCCGTTGAAGAAAGATCGATGGAGTTTTATCGTTTATTTTCATTCATCAGCAGACGAACACGTACTTTCGATGCTTGAGGCAAACTCGAAAATATCATTGGTGATATGTAAAATGCTGCTTTAGCCAGTAATAAGATATCAGGTACACACTAAAAGAACTAGAGAGACAAAATAACTGTCCAAATAGCTCTTTAAACATCCTGGAAAAAAGGGTATTGTCGCAATGCCGTCAATCAGGTTTCGGAAGAGCTGTGCTCCTATCAACATATTTGATTATACCATTCAGGATCTTTAACACTTTCAGAAGGTATATAGGAAGGACGGACTCTGGAAATACCATTAATAATGACAAGGCCATCGCATAATTGATAAAATCATATAGTTAAGGCAGCCTTCATAAATAACGGTAGACAAGCTATGAAGGTACACGAAAAGATCGATCTTGGGTGATGACGTAAAAGTTTGATAGCAATGGGATGCTCTTTGTTTTAAATTTCGACTTAGTTATTGTCGTTTATGATCCTCAGAGTGGACATTCGTCAACACTATTCCATTCACAATGCAAACAGCAGAAATGAGGCCTCTTCCAAGGGTCACTGAAGAACAGATGCAGAAAAGGTGGAAATTCAAGATGGTCCTGCAGGATAGCCGGTTGCTCGCATGATCAAGAGATCAGAGTTATTAGCTTGCGACTTTAAAGCCTTAAGAAAATGACTTGGGCCTGTTTTAAGGTTCAGTGGTCTGTCCAAAAATCATCTGCCATGGCGCGATGCGCATTTGTAGTGTATGGCGATATTCGTGTGGGAAAAATCATTCTCAGCAACTGCGCCCATCCTCTGCACGATAGCAGTGCGGATTGTCGGTCCCGCAGCACATCCTCCAAATCTCGATATGTGAATATCTACGTCAGGACCAGGCTCGACCAGAAATCTGTTATCCCTGCCTCAGCGCACTTCCTCTGTGATCGCAACTCAATTAGACTGCAGTATTTGACTATGCTCAATACAGAATAGTACTATCATTTATTCGCCATACAACCACTAATTGTCATAATCGCACATTTTTGTATATGCTGAAAAACGGAGTTCCTTTGTGACCCCATTCAAACACTAAATTTTTAAATTCCAAAGTTTTTAAGTTGACACACTCGTCTCTTGAATATTTTTATCCATATACAGCATAAACATGTGAGGGAATGAAACGCGGTCTTGGCGAAGCTCAGTGTCAACGTTGAAAGCTCTTCACCTAACGCCATTTACTCTGACGCAGCACTTTCTATCGAAGCATAGTGGTTGGATAATTCGTAGCCACTGGCCCTTGATCTTACATGTTTGCAGACAGGCCAACAGCCAGTTGCGCTGGATTCAGATGAACTAAGTACATGCAAACCCGACGAGGGAACTCAAACGATTTCTCGACAAACTGCTGTAAGGCAAAGATCTAATCAAAGCTGTTATGACCTGATCTGAAGCAATACTATTCTTCTTTGATCTTAGAGTCAGCTATTCCTTTGTACCTCCTTTCCAACACCTTTGCATGGGCTTCTGCCAGAAGACTCAATAAGGTACTGCACCAGTAACTGGAGTAGTACCTAAGGTCACCTTTAATAACAAAGGTACCACCACTCCAATTCTCCAGTACACCGGTGCCTTTCCCTTAGTCA